GGGGGGGGGGGGAGAGATTGGTGAAAGTAAGAAAAGGGGGGCCCCAAATTAACTAAGTTCCAAGGGCCCCTAAAGATGTTACAATGGTCCTGTATGACAGAACCTTTAAAATAAACTAAAAAAGCTACTTGTTATTGAATGAAATAAAATTAAATGTTCAAAACACTGTGTTAATGAGCTTCAAACTGCATAATTACCCTAAAGAAAACATTAAAGAGGAAATTAATTACAAAGTTGTGAATCAACCAGACTGCCATAAGCTTTTAGCAATTTATTTGCATGAAAATCTGTACCCTCATGTTACATCATTGAACTCCAATCTCATCAAAAACATTGTAATTATTAGTTTAAGTATTCAATATATGTTAATTAATGTAATGATTATTATAAGCTGTTTATTTTCCTATTTTCTAACTATATTTAAAAGTCAATTTAATTATTAGTACTGTATGCTAATGTAATTTATGCTTCTAAGATTTTATAATAATCCTTATACATTATTGTAATATAATGTAATAATTTACTACTGCAAGGAACTATGCTAGTTCACCAATTCTATTATTGTGAGGTGTTACTCAATTACTATTGTCAAAAATTGAACTCTGTTGTTATCCTAAACTGACCTTGCTTGGTACTAGTAGCGTTGATCTATAAACAATAAAATGTTTGTAGTCAGCCTTCATTTTGCTTATTGTAAGTATTTTACTAATGTTCATTCGCACCTGAGCTATGGCATAATAAGTTATTTTGGGGAAGCTCATCCTACAGTAACCCAGACTTAAACTGCAGAAAAAAACATATACCGTAATAATAAGCAAGTGCCATCTATGTGAATCCTGCAAGCCTCTCTTCAATGATCTTGGAATCTTATCATTGCCTGACTTATTTATTGAAGATTTGAAGATTCTTAAATAATTCTTAAATTCTTAATTCTTAAGAAGAAACTTATCTTTGAAGATTCTGCTTTTAAACACGCTATTTGCTGCACTTCCTTGATTCTAAGAGGAATATTTTTGATTTTGGTTTTATATTAGCAATGTCTCTCTTCTTCTTCATAATAATTACTCAGTTTTATAAAAAAAGTTCTTTACTGCAATGCTATTACTTAAAATCCTCAATTTCTTTTGCAACAGCTTATTCTTATTTGCATGCTTATTAGCCAATTTCCTTTGCAAGAGAAACTAAACAAGAGAGACAAAAAAAGACTAGAGGGAAGGAGGATCATTATGGTCTGGAGGAAGGTTGTGATTCAATTCAAGAATTAGCTGTTGGCAACGTCTGAACAAATTCATTACAGTAGACTCATAATAATCTGAGTTGTGGTTAACAGGCTCCGGGTTAATCGAGACAGTTATCAGTATACGTTATATATATATATAAGATGTAGATATATGACTTGTTTTACACTCGTAAAACACATTAAATCATGCCTAACACAGAAATGATGTTCTAGACCCAATAGACCAAGATTTCAGGTCAGGAACCTAAAATTTGCATGGCCAGGTGAAGTTTAGACATCAGTAGACAGGTGAGGGCAGACTAGGAACAGCTGGAGCCCAAGTAATGTTTTAGCATTGTGATACAAAATGATATCTTCTTGAACTTCCAATTACATTTGGACATTTTGATCTGGGGAACCCCTACTCGATGGCATAGATATAGATACTAAAAGTGTTTCAAAATCTATGTAAAACAAAATTCAAAGAATAGAGAGTTATAATGTGAATTTGATGCAATTCAAGTGATTACTTGATTTCCTGTCAAATTTAATATCACCACTTAACAATATTGGAATATTTACTCGTACACAAAAACAAATGTACAATGCAGTTAAGCACAGTTCAGACACTTGTTATTCTATGTTAGGATCCAGTGTGAAGCTAATACTTCTTTTAAAATAACAATTTACAAAAAGTGAAATGTTAATAGAGGTCGACCACATATACAAAGTATTTTCTAACACATTTCTTCCAGATCCATTTTATCTTTACTGAACTCAGAATGGGCTCAAATGTTTAAAAAATATCATTACTCCTTAGAAATACTTATATCCTACAATCAAAGGAATTAAGCAATCAAACCACTTATAAACATTACTTTATCAATATTTATTTGAGGTCTTTAAAATAACAATGGAATAAATCTCAACAAATGTATAAGAATATTAATTGTGCAATTAAAAGTGGTATGTTTATTGTCATTTTAATACCAGTAAAATCCACTGCTAAATGGATTTTTTGAAAGAATACTAATTAATTAACACCACTCTAAATCATTGTTATTACAGAGGTAACAACAAAGAGTAATTATAAAAATACTGACTGGCTTCATTGTCACTCAATACAATTTAAAATATTAAATTACAAAATAAGAGAAATACAAATGAAGAGGAGAGATAAAGTACAATTAAGTAATTTCATCGAGACAAAATGAAATCAAGTGAGAATAACTATTTCACACAAGAAATAAATCATTAGTACTGTGAATAAAAATGTTAATCTGCAAGACAGTCATAATTACTTAATGGTTTTTTACTCATAAAGATTTGCTAATATACAGCTGAAGAAATGGAAAACAAAGAATTGATAAATCATGAAGTGTGCCCATAATAATAAAACAATTACACAAAACATAGGTGAAAATTATTATGACAACTTTAATGTAACATGATGAAAATTTCCCAAATTTAATTAATACTTTATTTTATACTTATTCATTTGTATTTTTCGTAGTTCATAATTTAATACTCTTGAACAGCAAACAAAGTAGTAATCTCAATAGCTTTGATATTAGAAATAATTACCTTTTAACATTTTATGGCATACTACACAAAAACACTACTAGGTAATATGTGGAAAGCAGGAGCACATAATCATACGATTACACATTTTTTCTTATGGCATTTAAAAATTTTAGGAACAAGTATATTGGTCACAAAAAGAGTTTGTCCCCTTCATCATATTTATTGTAGGAATTTACTTGGAAAATAATCTCATTGGCACATGAATGTATAAGCCATCCTCCTTTGATGCTTCAGTAAACTGCCAGCAGTTAAATTTTCTCAAACAAGATTTTTATTGATGCATAATCAGCAGAACTCAAATCTTATGGACACAACCCATTTTTGTTTCATAATTTTCAATCTGCAGGGGATTATTATTGGCAGGATGGTGTATTGTTTTCATTCCTACAATAAATATTTTTTCTTTTCTTTATTATTTTGCCATCTTTTCATTGAAATACCCCACCCTTACCATTGAAATACACTATCTCTCAAAAACTGAAAATAATGCAATTGACTGTTATTGAAAAGAAGCTCTTATTTTTATCTTGACAATCTCTCTTTATACCAGACAAATATATATAGATATATATACACACACACATAGACAAATACTATATTAATACTCAGATAATCAAGTGAAACACTGTAGAAGTAACTGTAAATTAATGTTTGGAGCAAAATATGATTTCATTCAACAATCCAAAAAATTGCTGAACTTTTATAGACTAATTCACCTATGTTATCTTGCGAAAAAATGTCTGGTCTCTTTTAATAGGATCAATTAATAATTTTCATGAAATTTTTCTTTTCAAATACAATAAAACAGTCACAACAAAAGCTTGTGATTAACATTTGTCAGTTAAGCATCAAACTAGAGCTGAATTTCACAAATAAATCCAAGTTTTGTTACATAAGTTTTACAGTACTAATCTTATTAATCATAATATTTGCTCACTTATTTCAAGCAAAACTAAGGTCTATTCACCCTAGTTCTGGCAGTTCATCCATTGGAAAATCCAACAACACTGAAACCAGGAGTGTGTGTGTGTTTACAATCCATGAGTATTTTCTAAAAATGAACATGCTTTCCCAAAACCTTAAAGAAAAGAAACAAATATTACTGAAGTAGGTAATATGTGCTATAACTAACTGAATGTGACCAAATTTTAAAGTTCTTCAGGAAAAAAATCAGTAATGTTCTGAAAATGTAGGATGCTATGTACACAAAGGTGTAAAAACTATGTAAATAATAATCCAAAAAGAAAGATTTATTGGGTTTTTAAGACATTCATAACAAAAAAGGAATTCAGGATAAATAATAACTTTAAAAATATGTTTTCTATTCCTTGTATTTCCATCACCTGCTGTTGTGTGGAAAGTAATTTAAACCCTTTGTGTACATTGTGTAAATGATATTTTTAACCACGAAACATTAAGTATTACAGAAAATATTACAACAGAAAATAAGGTCTAGGATTTACTATTTAGCAGTTTAAGGTTTCTCTTTACGAAAGACTTCTGCTGACTAAGCAATTTATTGTTTAGAGATTTTTAAGCCATAAACAATAAATGTTATGTACCCCTGCTGCATTATTACTTAAATAAATGCAAACACAGACAACACCTATCTTAAATAAATGATATTATATTTGCATATGTACACATTTTACATAGAATAAAATACAACATATATACAGATATCAATATATATATAATATTTATATAAATACAGAAACATTTCAAGTTTACTTGTTAATTACATAATACCAGTGTTTGAAAAGCCATAAACAATTGTTAATAACTTTTCAAGCACTACAAATTTAATTTCTTGACCATCATTCATGGTGTTTGAGCAAAGCTCTGTATTTTAGTCTCAAATGTTGGTGTTCGGCCTTCCTTTACAATTCTTATTGCCTGCAAAACAGCAACAGTATCCAATTCCTTTTGGGTTGGCTTCTCATTATCCAAGCAAATCTCAGATGCCCTATTGCCAAATTGCTCTAATGTTTTGACTCTATAGTCCACAACAATTGCAACTGGATTAGCTGTAAGAACAAGATTTTCGAGACATGGCAAACCACAGATGTATTTGATCTCTGTTATATCAGAAACCTTATTACTCTGTAAATTCAGGCTTTCAAGCGAGTATAGCTTTGAAAAGCCTTGTAAAGACATGATGTTATTCTGAGACAGATCAATGTGAACTATGTTTCCTAATTTTGTATGTAGATTCTCAATTTGACAGAAGTGATTCGCACATAAATAAATATGGGAAAGATGGGGTAATGATGTAAGATTATCCAAGGCACTTATTTTATTGTTACTTAAATTGAGATGTTCTAATTTGGGCATTAGTTTCACAGATTCATCAATGTTCCTAAGGCCATTGTGACTGAAGTCAGCTTCTGTGAGTTTCTTCCATACATGAGTATCCTCAGTGTAAATGACACTTTTATGCAAGTAGTCACAGAGGAGAACATTTGCAATTTTACCAATGTTTGAGTAATGTACACTTATGGAAATTAATGTTTCACGGAGATTACCAGTACCATATATATTAGCCAACTCTACACCAACTAGAGTTAATTTCTCAACAAATTTGAAAGCAGATAACTCAAATTGCAGACAGTTTGGAACAATATTGCTTGTTCCAATAGGTGCTTTGCTTCCTTTTATTGTAATCCCCCGCAACTGACTACAGAAGTCCAAAACATGGCTAAAGTCGAGTTTTCTATCTAACATTTCAAGTGATGGACATGGCTGCTTCAATCGCTCACTAATTGCATGCAACTGAAAAGAACCAATGATAAAATTAATTCAAAAATTGTGTTATATGCAAATTATATTCATGAATATATTATAGTTACATTATTATATATTATTTAATTCATCATATACAGATATAATGAGATTTTCTAAATCTTATAAAATAGTGTTAGACAATTTCAATGAATGTATTTTTTTTTAAGCCAGATTGGATAGTGTTAGTTCACAGTCAAATTATAGTGCATTTTTAAAGAATGAATTAAAAATATTTAATAATGTAGTTACAAAAATTAAAAGTGTTCTTACTCTTTTTAATAAGACAGATGTGCTCGAGTAAAAGAACAGTTACTCTTGAAGAATGTTAAGAGGAAGAAGAAGAGTATTTAGTGCCCTCACATCACAAACATAAGATACCCTTTACCCATCATGTAAGTTTCAAAAGAATCATTTGAAATTAATATGTTCGGTACAGAAACTAACAATATAAATCATTCTTACATATTTCATCCATTGAACAGATTTTCCCCAACTTTTATTTATTTACAAAAACTTTGTTTAAAAGTGTTGATTTATGATTCATTACTCTCATTATTTTACAAGATGCATCAACAATACTACTTAATATAAATATATAATAATATATAAAACAATTACTTACTTGCAAGGGAGTAAAATAATGATGTTTTGAATTTTGCAATAAATAATCGCCTTCGGTGAACAATTGAAGAGCCAGATTTTGAAGTAGAAATGTAATATCATAATAGTGGAAGTCCAAAAACAAAGCAAGCTCTCTAGGCATAGCTTTCTGCAAGAAGCTCACCAAATTTATCAGATACGCTTCTAAAGCTGTTCTTCTTTTTTCTATAAATGCTGGATCTCTATTCCCTATCACCTTTTTGGGTGGAAGTAAATCTTTGTTGACCCCATGATCTACAATTAGTTTATCATGGAGTTCAGCGAAGTCGTTGTATCTATGTTGTACTTTCCACGACACTGATCCCACACTAATATGAATGTGGTAGAGAGTATAATTTTCGGTGTGCTCGAATTCCGGAATAGAAACCACTGTTGTGTGACCATTGACAAGAAAACATGCCATTGCGTATACGCTTTTAATACGCAAAGATGGATTTCTATCAAGCGATTAGTTATACATCTCATAACGTTACTAACACAGCTAATTCGATTGCTTACATTTTCTCGTCACAATGACATTTCAAACCACTCACAACTCTTCATTATTTGCATACAATTTACAGGTTATGTTACGCCCATTGGTGTCATGTTTTCATGATACCATTGACAAATTTCTTCCACGTCAACACGTTGCCAACATTGTAAACACAAACTTATCTCATGCTTTACCAAATTCTGAATAAACATATTGAATAGCGCGAAATGCAAACAAATCAAAAATTCATTGAATTGAAAAAATCGGTTTCGCAAAAGGAGAAATAAATAAGCAATTTTAAATCAATAATCAGCACGTGTTGACATATATAGTTAAATGAAATAAATTATAAATAAATGTACTGAGAGAAATTAAATTTGTTAGAGAAATCAAAACGAACATTCAGTACGAAACTTAAAATTATATCTTATTCATCAAACTTGTTAGTTCGTCTGAAACTATAGTGTAAAATAAAGGTTTTTTCATATATTCCATTTCTCACATCAGAAAAACATTTCATCCGGGAAGATCTTCACGTGATCCGTGCCGGAAAACATGCACTCCGCCGGAAAGCTTGCAAAACTCATCCTTGACAGTGTCTAACCCGAAACTCATCCACACCTCCGAGTACTTTTATCCTTCAGATTTCCTTCGGACCCACTCACCACATCCCCTGAACCTAATCCTTGTACTACCCCCCCCCCCTTGTTAGATCAAATCTTTTGTTTGGGTTTGCAAGTGTTATGGAGGAAAAGTGGCCAGTGGCTGCAGTACTTTTTATTTGTCTTGTGTTTTCATACAAAAAATAAAGTTAAATTAGGGTAACGAAATATCCCTCTAAGCGTGTACCTTTAAGCATGAAGACAGTCTTATTGCGCTCTAATACAAATAAAAACCAGTAAAAATCGATTCGAATAGAAAAAATCGATTGATTAAAATGGAGTATGTACCGAAGGTCAGATCACAAAATGCATGCTTGAAATGTAGCAAACTTATCCTTCAAGAACTTGCATTAGCCACGTGTTATTCATGCAATATCAACTCATAAGTGATATTAAATAGTGTTTATTTTAAATATTCAATAACCTAGTGTTATGTTCTTTGATTTTATACTTTGGAATAACATCTGCTGCCATAGCAATCACGTATGCTTTTCAGAGGTTAAGGAAAGTAATATCAGAGACAAAAACAGAGGTGTAGCTAGACTGATACAGCCAGTGTGCGGCCCAGTGAGCTCACCCGCTGACCCCCATTGGATATCGAAAGATAGAAATTGGGGACCCATTGCACCTCTGCACCAGGGCTCCCGAGACCTAACTACGCTTCTACGCAAAAATAATAAAAAATGTTAGCATATTTTAAAGGTCAACATCAAACTAAAGCAATGTGGAATATCGCAAAAAATTAGAGCACATCTCAAAACTTTGTAGAGAATGTTGTTTTAAAAGATAATGACCGAGAGGTACGATAACAACGCTTTTCGAGAATTGGGATTGATCTCACGAAGGGACTAAAACTACAAAATTTAACATCATACGTTTCCCAAAAATGTTCGACATGATGTTTGTTTTCGAAATTTCTTCCAGGTCAACCATTTAGACGAATTCCCGCTGAGCTGATTTAGATAAATTTCCGTTTTGTGTATTTAAAAACTTATGCGCCTGCCTTTATACACCTGTTAACTCGCAATTTGAGTCCTTTATGCACAGGAATGCTTTTAAAAAAATTTCAAAACATCTAAAAGTAAGTCACTTTTTTTTTTACAAAAAAGGCAACAAAAATAAAATTCAAAATCGGCCAATTTCTCTTATGTCAGTTTTCTCAAAAATATATAGACTTTTCTATATAGGTTTAAATAGAAACTTTTCTCAGAAAAAAACAACTAAGCATTTTCAAACACTAAACACGGATTTAGAACATCAAAATCTACGAAATTGGCAATTTTTTCTTTAAAATGTTCCTTCAATGGATCAAATTGAACTACGGATTAGATATCCAGGTATCTTAAAAGTCCATTTCAATTACATAGTAAAATATCGCATCGGGACAAAGAACATTAATAACTCATCTTCTTCTTTATTTGCCGTTTGACCATGGAGTCAGGCAAAATTCGACCTTAGGCCGTATCATCTTTAAATTCTCGGTTATCCGGGAGACGCCGCGTCGTTGGCTGGGAGACCGACGTTTTGCCTGACATCATCTTTATATTTTCGCCGTATCATCTTAATCCAATAAGACAAACGATGTCCATTAGAAAACAGATTTTTGCCGATGACACGAATATTCTTTGCAAAAAAGAAACAATAAGTAGTACGATTTTAGATGTGTCGATGTAAGTTTTCTGTAACTCGGGAACGAAAATTTCTAGTTTTCAAATGTTGTTAACCTCACTTTCTTGTTACTTTTTTCATCATTCAACAATAATTGTGAAAGGGGAGAAGAGATTTGAGTGCTAAGGAAAATGTATTACTCGCGCAAGTTTTCTTGATACACGAGCTCCCTAGTCCTCACTCAGCGCTGAATAGCACGGCACGTTTAGATACTTAGGTTCGACTCGGAACGGCAAGTACCAATTTACATTGCTGGCAACAGCCACTTCGTACTTTCAGAACAATCGTAGCATTACTCGTGGCACGCTTTGATGAGTGAAGTTCATGTTCACAGATGGTACGCCCTTTTAAGCCGCGACGTAGCTAGAGCCCTCCTTTCCCGCACCTCCCGTAGTGGAATATCAAGCAAACTTGCGCGTAGAGTACGTAGATTGTACTTTCTCCCCATTCGTCTCATACAGTTTCTATTACATTTTCTCCTCAGTTATTTACGTCGAGCGCTAAACAATATTATAAACTAGCAGAACCGTCCGTCGTTGCTAGGGCATTGTTTTACCACAAGATTATGTCGGTTTTTTAGGACCTTCTTGTACATCTTAAGTGTGACCAGGGGTGACCCAGGGGCATGCAGGCATTTACTTGGATGTACTTACCGTACGCTCCATAATCAGGACCAGCTATCCCCACATTCGCAACCCTTATACAATCACAGCAAGAAGGATCCGTGGGCCTGAGATTTGGAGCTTCATAAGTAGGGCTCGGATTCGGATGACGTCATATTTTCATTGGTGCATTCCAGAAGTAGCTAATTTGTAAATGAACGTTTATTACATATACAGATATGTGTGTGATAGATGTAAAGGAGATAGGTGATGACGTGATAGATTGCAGAAGTGATAGAAATGCATAGTTATTGGGTCTTTTTGCCATTTTTCAATTTTGAGGTCATTTTTTGGCTCCTTGAGTCATTTTGGCTCCCTGCTCATAAGACTTTTTCACAGCCCGCAGGGAGTTCATGCAGCATGTTTGGGCTCATCCGTACTGAATTGAAATATTAATCTAGTCACAAAAAATAAGGGCGTTATGTTCCGTTTACCGGCGATAGCAAGATTTATCGCTTGATAGGCAGCACTGCCTTCTAGTAGTTTCTACGCGTATCTTTTATTATGTTGCTAAAAATAAAACATTTTTCTGAGTAACACTTTGATTCGCAACTCCCACTATTTTGGTATTCTGTCGCTTAAAAGGATTCGTGCCAATTCACTCCAATCTACAAAGTTAAATTACCAATAAAGGTAGCAATAAACCTTTTGGCAAAATTAGATATTGAGAAATATTCGCCCCGTTATAAACTATTTGCATCGGCAAAAGAGTAACAGAGTTTGGCTCTTATTCCTAATCTTGCTCGATCTAAAGAAATCGATTCCCCACCGCGATAAAAAAATTGCGATTATTGGATGGTACTGCTGATGAAATAACTAGATTCTCTACTTACACTGTATAGAGTTCACGAAAACGTGTGCAGATAGTGAACCTACATTTACGTTCAAAACCACTAAAAAACGCGGGACGACTTTCCAATGCCATGGCCTATTAAATATGTTATGTTAGGCATAAGTTTTGAGTTCTTAAGAATTTATCCCGGAATTAATTTACGATATGTTCGTATATCAAATGTCTAAGCACAATTCTATAAAGAATATCTTCTGTTGAAACACGTTTACCAATACAATGTAATTTGTATTGTTTACAGCTCTTCATATAACTATACTTTGCGCCAAGTTTATTTTCGTTGGACCTCTATTGGGGTACATCATTGGCAAAATCACTGCCTGTGCTCTGGTGCGGATTTTTAACGACGTTGTGTCGACTGCCACAATTACTCTAGTGGTAGCTTTCGCATCATATTATGTTGCAGAGGAAGTTATTGGTGAGTACAATTTACTTTCGAATCGTAGACACACCTTTGTGATGACTAGAGAAAATAAAATTGTAGCCAAGTGCCCTTTTACTTTCTTTCCCTTAATTCGTAAGGTAAGAAGTATTGTAATCGTGCGCTCAAAAACGGTGTATTTTCGACAGAAAAACTCTTGATTTTTAAGGTTTTAAATTTTACAGGTTAAAAATAAAGTGAGAAAGATTGAGTTGTAGCATCACTAGTATTAAATGAAGTTTATAAAAATGATTTGTAAATAAGGTGAACACTTTTTTAAACGAGTAGTTTTCACGAATGCTGAAAATTACTGAAGGGGTAGCCGGGTAAGGCAGTGTAAAGTGCTCGGAAACCAAATCGAAATTCGCGATGCTCGTATAAAATATCATACAAAATTTCGTAGATTCGAAAAAAATGCCTCCTAGGGCAATCTATTGCAGAGATACGAGAAACATGTTTTTCGTGTTTCATTTTTTGTCAGCTTCTATTGCATGTATCAGGCTGTAAAATATTACAGAGACGGGGACAAATGGTTGCATTTGAAGGTATTCTTGTCAACCAATTTTGACGGCAAATTCAGATAGAAAAAGTTGAAATTGTGGAATACGGTAATTAGAAAATCGAAAACACGAGAAATATTCTTCGACATATTAGGTGCTCAATGACACCTGCGAATAATTATGCGTATCACTATCAAAAGTATCAATAGCGTGAAAGATCATAGTGATGGGCGCGGCAGGAGAGAGGATGTAATGCAATGTGCGCAGAGGTGTTGGGCGTGCTGTTTGCGTGGAGTGGCGTGTGCGCAGGGGTGTCGGGCGTGCTGTGCTGCGTGGAGGTGGGCGAGGAGGTAGAGAGTGTGGAGGGGCGTGTGCGCAGGGGTGTCGGGCGTGCTGTGCTGCGTGGACCTGGGCGAGCAAGTAGAGAGCGTGGAGGGGCGTGTG